AGACACACACAACATGCACGCAGACACACACAGAGACATAAATAACATGCACACAGACACACAGATACACACACATGCTCACAGACACAAAAATACACAAATGACATGCATGCAGACACACACAATTACACACACAACATGTATACAGACACACAGATACACACACAACATGTATACAGACACACAGATACACAAACAACATGCACGCAGACACACAAACATGTACACAGACACACACTGCACACCCGCACACATACACACAAACGCAGACACACACATGCACACAGACAGTGGAGATGGGCCAGTGATGTGTGTGTGTGCAGGGGTAAAATGGAGAAACTGCCCCAGACAGGCTCGTGTCTGTCCATGCAGGGTACCCTCTTTAAGATCACACACCCCGACACAGGACAAGACCGACTGGAGAGGTCAGAGACACACACACTCTCTCCAGCACAAGGTACTAACCCCCTAACAGAACTCCTCTGTCCCACCCTCTCTTACTGCTGACTGGACTGGGAACAGTGGAGAAAGGTAAGATTGGTTCAGTGCATTTCACTCTCCGTCTCGCTGTCTGACACTCATCTGACTCTGTCTCTCTGTCTGACTCTCAATCTGTCTCTCTGTCTCACTATCTGTGTGTCTCAATCTGGCTGTCTCTTTGTTTCTTCAAACTACCTGTCTTGGTGTCTGTTCATCAGTATGTACATGTACAGTGTGTGTGTATTACTGTACATAAACCTACAGTACATGTACAGTGTGTGTGTATTACTGTATATTCACCTACTGTACATGTATAGTGTGTGTGTATTACTGTATATTCACCTACAGTAAAGTACATGTACAGTGTGTGTGTGTATTACTGTATATTCACCTACAGTACATGTACAGTGTGTATTACTGTATATTCACCTACAGTACATGTACAGTGTGTGTATATTACTGTATTTTCACCTACAGTACATGTACAGTGTGTGTGTATTACTGTATATTCACCTACAGTACATGTACAGATGTATTACTGTATATTCACCTACAGTACATGTACAGTGTGTATTACTGTATATTCGCCTACAGTACAGTACATGTACAGTGTGTGTGTGTATTACTGTATACTCACCTACAGTACATGTACAGTGTGTGTGTGTATTACTGTATATTCACCTACAGTACAGTACATGTACAGATGTATTCACACCCCTGGTGGAACAGGAACAGGAAGTCCTGCAGGCTGGACAGGAACAGGAGAGCGATGATGAAACAGAGGCTCCTCTGGGGGGCGGGGGGGGGCTGGTGACCTGGTCCTGCGCGGTGGACTGAGGCTGTCCTCCCCAGTGTCCGCTGGGACGGAGGGGTCTGGATCGCGGCGGTGCCGGAATGGCCACCTTCCCCCGGGACCGGGCAGAGGACGCCGGCGATCCCGGCACACGCTGGGGTTCGTGCTGTTCCAGCTCCCTCTTCGCCAGTCGCCCCCCGGCTTTCCCTCCTCCGTGGGCCCTGGGCCCTGTGCCTGCAGGAAATCCGTCCCGGAGGAAGATTCCCGTATCCCCGGGATCCCGCTGCCCCCGGAGAGCTCTCTGACCCCGGACCGTGGAGATGAGCCACAAGGCAGTGGGTGTGCCACCCGTGTGTCACCTCCTTTTGCACCCCCGGGGAAACAAGAGTTCCTTCCTTTAGTTCCTCTTACACGTCGTGAGAGGAGGATGTGATTGCCGATTTGTGTCTTTGGGTTCGTGGTGAAAGGAATACTTCGAATACTTCGAGGTTTATACTGTACTTATAGAGTATATTAGGCCACTAACTCTTCTCATTGACTTTATTGAAAACGCTCTGTTTTCTTTCTTTTCAGCTGCTTCTCCTTGGAAGAAAAAAACAGGTAATTCATTCATTCTTTAG